CGTCCACTGTCACCCCTAGGTCCTTTTCCGCAGAACTGCTGCCTAGCCATTCGGTCCCTAGTCTGTAGCTGTGCATTGGGTTCTTCCGTCCTAAGTGCAGGACCCTGCACTTATCCTTATTGAACCTCATCAGATTTCTTTTGGCCCAATCCTCCAATTTGTCTAGGTCCTTCTGTATCCTATCCCTCCCCTCCAGCGTATCTACCACTCCTTCCAGTTTAGTATCATCCGCAAATTTGCTGAGAGTGCAATCCACACCATCCTCCAGATCATTTATGAAGATTTTGAACAAAACCGGCCCCAGGACCGACCCTTGGGGCACTCCACTTGACACCGGCTGCCAACTAGACATGGAGCCATTGATAACTACCCGTTGAGCCCGACAATCTAGCCAGCTTTCTACCCACCTTATAGTGCATTCATCCAGCCCATACTTCCTTAACTTGCTGACAAGAATACTGTGGGAGACCGTGTCAAAAGCTTTGCTAAAGTCAAGAAACAATACATCCACTGCTTTCCCTTCATCCACAGAACCAGTAATCTCATCATAAAAGGCGATTAGATTAGTCAGGCATGACCTTCCCTTGGCGAATCCATGCTGGCTGTTCCTGATCACTTTCCTCTCATGCAAGTGCTTCAGGATTGATTCTTTGAGGACCTGCTCCATGATTTTTCCAGGGACTGAGGTGAGGCTGACTGGCCTGTAGTTCCCAGGATCCTCCTTCTTCCCTTTTTTAAAGATTGGCACTACATTAGCCTTTTTCCAGTCATCCGGGACTTCCCCCGTTCGCCACGAGTTTTCAAAGATAATGGCCAATGGCTCTGCAATCACAGCCGCCAATTCCTTCAGCACTCTCGGATGCAACTCGTCCGGCCCCATGGACTTGTGCACGTCCAGCTTTTCTAAATAGTCCCTAACCACCTCTATCTCCACAGAGGGCTGGCCATCTCTTCCCCATTTTGCGATGCCCAGCGCAGCAGTCTGGGAGCTGACCTTGTTAGTGAAAACAGAGGCAAAAAAGGTTTCAGAGGAACAGCCGTGTTAGTCTGTATTCGCAAAAAGAAAAGGAGTACTTGTGGCACCTTAGTCTCTAAGGTGCCACAAGTACTCCTTTTCTTTCTAGAGGCAAAAAAAGCATTGAGTACATTAGCTTTTTCCACATCCTCTGTCACTAGGTTGCCTCCCTCATTCAGTAAGGGGCCCACACTTTCCTTGGCTTTCTTCTTGTTGCCAACATACCTGAAGAAACCCTTCTTGTTACTCTTGACATCTCTGGCTAGCTGCAGCTCTAGGTGTGATTTGGCCCTCCTGATATCATTCCTACATGCCCGAGCAATATTTTTATACTCTTCCCTGGTCATATGTCCAACCTTCCACTTCTTGTAAGCCTCTTTTTTATGTTTAAGATCCGCTAGGATTTCACCATTAAGCCAAGCTGGTCGCCTGCCATATTTACTATTCTTTCGACTCATGGGGATGGTTTGTCCCTGTAACCTCAACAGGGATTCCTTGAAATACAGCCAGCATTCCTGGACTCCTTTCCCCTTCATGTTAGTCCCCCAGGGGATCCTGGCCATCCGTTCCCTGAGGGAGTCGAAGTCTGCTTTCCTGAAGTCCAGGGTCCGTATCCTGCTGCTTACCTTTCTTCCCTGCATCAGGATCCTGAACTCAACCAACTCATGGTCACTGCCTCCCAGATTCCCATCCACTTTTGCTTCCCCCACTAATTCTACCCGGTTTGTGAGCAGCAGGTCAAGAAAAGCGCCCCCCCTAGTTGGCTCCTCTAGCACTTGCGCCAGGAAATTGTCCCCTACGCTTTCCAAAAACTTCCTGGAGCACCGCTGTATTGCTCTCCCAGCAGATATCAGGAAAATTAAAGTCACCCATGAGAATCAGGGCATGCGATCCAGTAGCTTCCGTGAGCTGCCGGAAGAAAGCCTCGTCCACCTCATCCCCCTGGTCCGGTGGTCTATAGCAGACTCCCACCACTACATCACTCTTGTTGCACACACTTCTAAACTTAATCCAGATCTGCACATGTGCATGCTGCACAGCTTGTCCTGCTCAGATTTCGGAAGGCACTTCAGATTCTTAAACCTTTAGTCCAGTGCTGTAGCTATCTTTAGAAATCTCACATTGGTACCTTCTCTGTGTTTTGTCAAATCTGCAGTGAAAATATTCTTAAAATGAATAACATATGCTGGGTCATCATCAGAGACTGCTATAACTTGAAATATATGGCAGAACGTGGGTAAAACAGAGCAGGAGACACACTATTCTCCCCCGAGGAATTCAGTCACAAATTTAATTAACACTTTTTTTTCTAAAACGCGTCATGAGCATGGAAGCATGTCCTCTGGAATGGTGGCCGAAGCGTGAAGGGGAATATGAATGTTTAGCATATCTGGTTTGTAAATATGCCGGCTACAAAAGTGCCATGCAAATGCCTATTCTCGCTTTCTGGTGACATTGTAAAGAAGAAGAGGGCAGCATTATCTCCTGCAAATGTAAACAAACTTGTTTGTCGTAGCAATTGGCTGAACAAGAAGTAGGACTGAAGGGACGTGTAGACTCTGAAGTTTTACACTTTTTTTGTCTTTGAATGCAGTTTTGTAACAAAAAGAATCTACATTTGTAAGCTGCACTTTCACAACAAAAGGATCGCACTACAGTGCTTGTATGAGGTGAATTGAAAAATACTATTTCTTTTGTTTATCATTTTTACAGTGCAAATATTTGTAACCAAAAATAATATACACTTTGATTTCAATTACAACACAGAATACGATATATATGAATCTGCAGGAAAACATCCAAAATATTTAATACATTTCACTTGGTATTCTATTGTTTAACAGTGCGATTAAAACAACAATTAATCGTGATTAATTTTTTGAGTTAATCACATGAGTTAATTGTGATTAATCGACAGCCCTAGTATCTATATTGAAAAGTTAAGGCAGGTCACCAGAAGGTGACGTGTCTCAGACATGTTCCTTTCAGGCAGGACGTAACAGAGGCACACGTCCGAATCTTCTCATGTGCATATGGTCTGTTGTACGCCTCACAGTGTAGTTCTAGGCAGAAGAAAAGATTGTGAAATCACAAGAGAGGAATGTCACAGGATAAACCAAACAGCAGAGGTATCCTCTTTATGACTAAAGACACAGGATTGTTAAGGTATATCTGGAGGGCAAAAGGAAACACAGGCTCCTCCATCCAGGAGGCAAATCAACAAGTGTTGGTGTTATGAAAGCAGGGCCACAGCCAGCCTGGCTGGAACATGCTGGTGAGCAATATTCCACGGGCTATGAAAGTATCTTGTTAAGGAGGTCAAGACTCTAGAATTCTTGTTAGCATTTTGGTTTATATGTAACCATTTGTTTCCAATATTTCTACTTGCTACTACCTGAGTCTCTGGGCGCTGTTAAGTAACCCGAGGCCTGATTTCACTGTAAACAGATCTGAGCGCTGTGTGTTAAGCGGAGCGGTGATCCGAGGCGACGCTGGTGATCTGAGGTGAAACCGTTTCTTTGGAAGCAGCGAATCTGTGAATACCGCGAGCGTCCAGTGAACCAGGTGCTGGAGGCTCCAGGGAGATGCTTGGGGAGCGCAGGGGGTTGGAGTGTGCAGTCCCTAACTTGGGGAGAGAGAGAGTTGGGGACCTGACTCCCAGCAGGCACTGACGAGGCTTCTTCATGCTAAGGGCAGGTGCTAGGAAGGAGCCTCCCAGACCTAGGTCCTCCCGGGAAGCATCACATCTGGGCTGGGGCATTGTCGTGTTACTTGCATGGCATGAGACGTTGACCAAGTGACTGTTTTGTATCTGTACCTTGAAGATGGTTTTAAAAAGAGCCCTGGACGCAGATCCACTGCGGCCATTGGGTATCGACATTGTGTCTGTGCACATAGAATCATAGAATATCAGGTTTGGAAGGGACCTCAGGAGGTCATCTAGTCCAACCCCCTGCTCAAAGCAGGACCAATCCCCAATTTTTGCCCCAGATCCCAAATGGCCCCCTCAAGGATTGAGCTCACAACCCTGGGTTTAGCAGGCCAATGCTCAAACCACTGAGCTATCCCTCCCCCCAAGCTCTGTGCTTCTGGTTCTTGGGGATGCCCAGGAGCTTCTGGTGCCTGTTTCCCACCCCGTAGGGTTTGCAGCGCCTGACTTAACTTTTCTGGGGCTCCTTTGACTCTCAGCCAAGGCCAAAAATGGCAGACTGTCATGTGCGATTTGAGGCAGGCTCACAAAATGCTGGAGGCTTGTCCAGAACCAAGCAAATTTTGTGTCTCCAAGTTTAGGGGGTCCTGGCTGTATGGGGGAGGCATATTGGGGGGGTCCTGGCTGGGAGTGGCTGGAGACTCTGGCTGGAGTGTGTGGGAAGAGAGTACAAACCCTGGCTGGGGGGGTACAGATCTTGGCTGGTGGCGGTAGAGACCTTGCCGGGAAGGGGGGGTACGGACCCTGCGTGTGGGAGGGCTGAGGAGATCATAGAATCAGACAATATCAGGGCTGGAAGAGACCCCAGGAGGTCACCAAGTGCAACCCCCTGCTCAAAGCAGGACCAATCCCCAATTTTTGCCCCAGATCCCAAATGGCCCCCTCAAGGATTGAACTCACAACCCTGGGTTTAGCAGGCCAGTGCTCAAAGCACTGAGCTAGCCCTGCCCCGCGACCTGTGAGATGTAGGTCACAGACCCAGTTTGGGGGGGGGGAAGTCTCTGGCTGGCGCTTGCGCAGGGGAAGGGGGAGGGGAGTCGATTACATTTGGTAACTGGCCCTTTAAGACCCTCCTCTGGCTGAGGCTCCGGAAACCGATTCTTGATTGGTTGGGGCCCCAGTCGCGCGCAACCGAACTTGACGCAGCCAGCGCGCGCTGCCGTAGCCCCTCCCTCTGTCTCTGACAGAGGCCGCTCCGGCCAATCAGCCTCTGCTTTATCTGCATATTGCCTCCAGGATGACCAATCCGAGTCCTAGGTGTGGGCAGTTTATTAGCATAACGATGGTGGGCGGGGCGGAGGCAGCAGGGAAGGGTGGTTGAGCCTGAGGAACAGGGTTGCTGAGTCAGGGAAGTTTGGGGGATTGGAGGCGGGAGGGGCTGTGGACGAGGTGGGTGCGGGGGGATTGGAGGGGTGTGGGGGGCAGGGGAGGAGGTGGGGGATTGGGGGCGGGGGGATTGGAGGGGTGTGGGGGGACAGGGGAGGAGGTGGGGGATTGGAGGGGTGGGGGGGGCAGGGGGAGAAGGTGGGGGGGCGGGGGGATTGGAGGGGTGTGGGGGGGCCGGGGGAGGAGGTGGGGGATTGGAGGGGTGTGGGGGGACAGGGGAGGAGGTGGGGGATTGGGGGTGGGGGGATTGGAGGGGTGGGGGGGGCAGGGGAGAAGGTGGGGGGCGGGGGGATTGGAGGGGTGTGGGGGGGCCGGGGGAGGAGGTGGGGGATTGGAGGGGTGTGGGGGGGCAGGGGAGAAGGTGGGGGGCGGGGGGATTGGAGGGGTGTGGGGGGCCGGGGGAGGAGGTGGGGGATTGGAGGGGATTGGAGGAGTGTGGGGGGCAGGGGAGGAGGTGGGGGATTGGGGGTGGGGGGATTGGAGGGGTGTGGGGGGGCAGGGGAGGAGGTGGGGGGCGGGGGGATTGGAGGGGTGGGGGGGCGCCGGGAGAGGAGGTGGGGGGATTGGAGGAGTGTGGGGGGCAGGGGAGGAGGTGGGGGATTGGGGGTGGGGGGATTGGAGGGGTGTGGGAAGGGCAGGGGGAGGAGGTGGGGGATTGGAGGGGTGTGGGGGGTCAGGGGGAGGAGGGGGGCGGGGGGATTGGAGGGGTGTGGGGGGCGCCGGGGGAGGAGGTGGGGGGGATTGGAGGGAGAATGGGGGTCCTGGATTGGGGGCTAAAAGGAGCCCCGGGGAAGGAGCTGCTGCAGATGGTGCAGGGGAGGGGGGGGAGCAGTGCTGGGTGCTCTTCCCCTAGTCTGACCTTGTTAGTCAATAAAGGGCTATAAGATGGGGGGGCAGAGCTCCCCATCCCGCCCCTCTCTGCCCCTGTCTCCCCAGTTCCCCTCTCCTGGGTGTCTCTGTTGCAGTGACCACTTGTGTCGCGTGCTCAGTGCAGGGGCTGGGAGCCAGGATGCCTGGATTCTGTTTCTGCCTTTGCCACTGACTCGCTGGGTGACCTTGCACAAGTCATTCCATGCCTCCGGTCCTCAGTTTCCCCAGCGCTAAGAAGCCCCTGAAGCACTCTGAGAGTGCAACTTGTAATTCACATTAGAGTGTTATGCTTGTGAACTTTAGTAGGGTTGTGGATCAGGGCACCTAGAGCTTCAAATGAACATCTTTTATTATATAAATTGAAATAAATCAACTGGGAAATTCCTGAAGCAACATCCACAGAAAAGCAGCTGCTAGTCAGACTGTTAAGTATGCAGTACTGTGCCAATGTTGCTTTACATTATTGTATCTCTGGAATATCTTTTCTTTTCTGTGCAATGTTAAGGTTGCAATTTAAATAGCCTTGTTTTGTTTTGCGAATTTATCATTTTGCTTCTAGAGGTGATAAGGGAAGTTATTTGACCAGGGTCACACAATGAGCTAGTATGTGAGCTGTGAATAGAACCCAGGCGTCCTGAGCCACCAGAGCAGGAGACAGTACTTCCTCCTGAGTGGGATGTGTCAGGTGGGCACTGGGACCTTGTTTTGGTGGGATTGTAGCTTGCTCAGTTGCTGCTGGGTTTGGGATTTGCTCCCTGCTGCCCAGTTGCTGAAATGTCCATAATGAAACTTGATTGTACATTACAGGTGGCCTGGTCTGAGCTGCTTGAGCATTAGCTGGTGTTTGCAGAAATTGGTCATGTCGCATGCTGCAAAACAGCTGGCCGCTGGCATCTTGTAAGTGTTGCAGATTCTTTCCCCCTACCAGACTGCAACAGGCTGACTTCATAAATGATCTGGAGGATGGTGTGGATTGCACTCTCAGCAAATTTGCGGATGATACTAAACTGGGAGGAGTGGTAGATACGCTGGAGGGGAGGGATAGGATACAGAAGGACCTAGACAAATTGGAGGATTGGGCCAAAAGAAATCTGATGAGGTTCAATAAGGATAAGTGCAGGGTCCTGCACTTAGGACGGAAGAACCCAATGCACAGCTACAGACTAGGGACCGAATGGCTAGGCAGCAGTTCTGCGGAAAAGGACCTAGGGGTGACAGTGGACGAGAAGCTGGATATGAGTCAGCAGTGTGCCCTTGTTGCCAAGAAGGCCAATGGCATTTTGGGATGTATAAGTAGGGGCATAGCGAGCAGATCGAGGGACGTGATCGTTCCCCTCTATTCGACATTGGTGAGGCCTCATCTGGAGTACTGTGTCCAGTTTTGGGCCCCACACTTCAAGAAGGATGTGGATAAATTGGAGAGAGTCCAGCGAAGGGCAACAAAAATGATTAGGGGTCTGGAACACATGACTTATGAGGAGAGGCTGAGGGAGCTGGGATTGTTTAGCCTGCAGAAGAGAAGAATGAGGGGGGATTTGATAGCTGTTTTCAACTACCTGAAAGGGGGTTCCAAAGAGGATGGCTCTAGACTGTTCTCAATGGTATCAGATGACAGAACGAGGAGTAATGGTCTCAAGCTGCAGTGGGGGAGGTTTAGATTGGATATTAGGAAAAACTTTTTCACTATGAGGGTGGTGAAACACTGGAATGCGTTACCTAGGGAGGTGGTAGAATCTCCTTCCTTAGAGGTTTTTAAGGTCAGGCTTGACAAAGCCCTGGCTGGGATGATTTAACTGGGAATTGGTCCTGCTTTGAGCAGGGGGTTGGACTAGATGACCTTCTGGGGTCCCTTCCAACCCTTATATTCTATGATTCTATGATTCTATGACTGTTGTGGTGGTCATGGTGATGCTGACAGGTCCCACAGTGCCTGACAGCAATCAAATCTAGGTAATAGATTCATAGAGCTTAAGTTTTCTGCGACCATTAGATCATCTAGTCTGACCTCCTGCATAGCAAGGGCCAGAGACCTTCACCCAGTTACCCCTGGACTGAGCCCAATAGCTTGTTTGGCTAATGCATCTCCCAGAAAGGCAGCCAGCCTTCATCTGAAGACATCAACAAGTGGAGGCTCCCTTGGTAGTTTGTTCCAATGATTAATCACCCTCACTGTTAAAATGTTGGGCTTAATTTCTAATGTGAATTTGTCTGGCTTCAGTTTCCAGCCACTGGTTCTTGGTCTGCCCCTCTTTGCTAGATTAAACGGCCCGTTAGTCCCTGGTATTTTCGCCCATGTAGGCTACATGTAGGCTGTTATCAAGGCAGTTCTTGATTGTGATGAGCTAAACAGATTGAGCTCTTTAAGTCTCCCACTGCAAGGCATTTTTCCAGATCATTTTTGTGGCTCTTTTCTGCACCTTCTTCAATTTTTCAAGAGCCTTTTTAAAATGTGGACCCCAGAACTGGACGCAGTGTTCCAGTGTTGGTCTCACCAATGCCACATACAGAGGTAAAATCAACTCCCTGCTCCTGCTCGCTACTCCCTGTTTGTACAGCCAAGGATCGCATCAAAGATTTTGTTGTCATAGTGTTGTACTGGGAGCTCATGTTGAGTTGCTTCTCCATTATGACCTCTAAACCCTTTTGCAGACACTGCTTTCTTTGTTCCTAGATGAATAACTTTGCATTTGATTGTATTAAAATGTATTTTGTTTGAATGGGCCCCGTTTACCAGGTGCTCCAGATCACTCTGTATGACTGCCCTGTCCTCCGCTTTAGTTACCACTCAGCCAATCTTGTTGTCATCTGCAAACATTATCGACACTGGTTTTATATTTAATTCCAGATCATTGATAAACATGTTGAAGAGCATCAAGCCTAGTACCAGTCCCTGTGAAACCCCACTAGAAACACCCCTGTTTGATGGTCATTCCCCATTGGCAATTACTCTTTGAGAGATGTCACTTAGCCAGCTCTTAATCCATTTGTTGCATTATACATAGTGGAGCTTACTAGTTTTTCAGTCAGAATGTCAAGCAGTAGAAACGCAAATACCTCACCAAAGTCTGTTACATCTACATAGTTAACTTTATCGGCCAGGCTTGTAATCTCAAAGAATGAAATCAGGCTTGTTGACCAGACCTGTTTTCCATAAACCCATGCTGACTGGCATTAATTCTGCTCCCAGCCATTAATTCTTTATCAATTAAATCATTTTGTATTTTCCGTTATTTTGCCCAGGATTGATGTCAGGTTAACAGGCCTATAGTTATCTGAGTCATCCCACTTGCACATTTGGAATACTGGTACAACATTAACTCTTCCAGTCTTCTGGAATTTCTCTGGTATTCCAAGACATACTAAAAATTAACATCTCCTCTGAGATCTCCTCGTCAGCTCTTTTAAGACTCTTGGTGCAAGTTCGCCAGGCCTGCTTATTTAAAAATACTTATCCCTAGCAGATGTTGTTTAACATCGTCCTTAGTTACCAAGGGACTCAAAAGTACTTCATCATGCTCATATGGTGCAAGATATGATACTGCCTCTTTCCAAATGCAGAAGAGAACACTTCTGCCTTTTCCTGAATCATCATTAACAGTTTTATTTTCTCCATCTAGTAATGGGTCTGTACCTTTGCTAGGATTTCTTTTGTCTCTATATACTTAAAAAAATTCCTTCTTATTGTCCTTAGCCTTGCCAGCCATGGTTTTTTCCCTGATGTCTTTAGCTTCCCTTATTAATTTTCTGTACTTCATAGCTGCTAATTTATATCTGCTGCTATTTACTTCCCTGTTTTTGCGTTTGTTATGGATTGCTTTTTGATTTCTAATTCCTGTCTTCACTCCTCCTGATCCTGTAGCTGGACTTGTTGAGGTGGAGCACCACTGGGGTTCCCTGGGGGAATATCTGATTGCGGGAGCTGGGCCCTAGTTTGCTGTTCTGCCTTGGGCTGTGGCTTGTGTAAGATGCTCCAGATGAAGGCAAAACTCTCCTCTATGATACACCAGTACCAGCCCTTTCCTTCTCTCCATACTATGCCAGGGAGGGTGGAATGTTGTCTCCAGCCACAGATTAGTGGATGTGCTGGCTACAAGGACTGATGGATGGCCCTTGGAATTGGTACCCAGAGGAGTATAACTTCAGATCCAGTTCTCAGTTGTGTGAGAACCCTTCTCGTTCTGACTCTTCTCTGCAGCTGCTTGACCTGCCAGCAGAGGGCATGACTTGGGCTGTAACCTGTGTGCAGGAGTGCCCCAAATTACCCTGGGCCATGCTGGTCTTGGTGGGGTTTGTGGAACCCCTTAGTTATTACAGTGCTAGCTTCTCCCAGCAAGGGCTGCTGTGGGGAAGGGTGTGGGAGCTCTGGCACTGGGAGGGAGTCGCCATCTGCTACCTCAACCCCAGCTTCCCCCAGTAGGAGTCGCCCTTGTGAAGGGCTGTGGAGAGCGCTGGCTGCGTGGGAAGCTCAGTGCTCCTGCAGTCCCAGGCCCTCCCAGCAGGAGGTGCTGCCGGGCGTAGTGGCATGCACCAGCAGTGCCAGCCCAGTAGTGTCTCTGCAGTTGTGCTTCAGCCTTTTCCTTCACCGAATGTGACACAAGCTCCCTGGTTGCAGACATGCCACCGGCAAAGGCCAGCATGGAAACTTCCTGGTCGCCATCAAGCAGGAGAAGGGGGAAGTTCCCCGGACCAGCAGCGAGAAGCCCCATGGCGAGGAGGAGGTGAGCCCCTCTGTGATGTGATCTGGCTCTTCTGCTTTCCCAGCCTGCCCTGAGCACAGGACCCATGCGGTGGCTCAAATGCAGCCGCACAGTGCTGGGACAGCTGGGTTTACAGCACTGCAGGGAGCTGCTTTGCTGGGGTTTTGTGCATAGCCCTTTCCATAGAAATGCGTTTGCTTACCCTGCAGTAGTCCTAGCGTAGCTGTGCAGCATGCCAGGCTGCCGCAGATGGTGCTGGTGCCTTGTGGCTGCAGCACGGGGTTGGGAAGAGAGGCCAGGAGCCCTGGGCTCGGGAGGGCTAATGACAGGGGTCTGCGTGGCGCTCTGTCCCTCTCTTCCTGCTGTGGACACAGTCACTTAGTGAGCTTCAGTCCAGCATGTTGGTTGATTTCTTTCCCTCCCCTGCCACGGGGTGACAGCCAGTGAAGAAGAGGGGCTGGCCCAAAGGGAAGAAGAGGAAGAAGATTCTGCCCAACGGCCCCAAGGCCCCAGTGACCGGCTACGTCCGCTTCCTGAATGAGCGCCGTGAGCAGATCCGCATGCAACATCCTGACCTGCCCTTCCCAGAGATCACCAAGATGCTAGGAGCCGAATGGAGCAAACTGCAGCCCACAGACAAACAGGTACTGGGAAGGTGGGGGGGTGTCCAGGGGAGAGACACCTTGCGTTAGCCCAGCCACATCCAGCTGGGACCTGGGTCACAGCCGCGCTCCAGACTCGCTCAGGCTGTTGAGCTGGTTAAGGATTGCATCTTGAGTAGGATAGGCTGCGTCCGAGGGAGGCTGGACCAGGGTCTGCAGGGCATACCCTAATTGGCTGCTGTGCTGTGGGTCTGGGGTCCGGTCCCTTCCATAACTGCAGGACATATGCTGAGCCCCCTGACTGGCCGCTCGACAAGGGGGGAGCAGGGTCCTGACTCCTGGAGTCACACCCTTGAATACTTGCTGGGCCGCTCGCTAAGATCCAGGCTCTGGGGTGATGTTTAGGGCTGCACTTCGCCCCCGCTTCCGTGCGCTATGGGGCGTGCCCATCTGACCCCAAGTGGTTTCAGAGGTACCTGGATGAGGCGGAGCGCGAGAAGCAGCAGTACATGAAGGAGCTGCGGGAGTACCAGCAGTCGGAGGCCTACAAGATGTGCACGGAGAAGATCCAGGAGAAGAAGATCAAGAAAGGTTGGTGCTGGGGATGTGTGGGGCTGGGCTTTGCACTCTGCCCTGTCCCCCACTGACACTGGGGTGGGGAAGGGGCTGGGAGCGTCCCCCTTGGTGCTGTGGGCTGGCAGGGTGGGCCTGGCACAGCAGGATGAGGTAAGTAACCTCTGACCGCTTTGTGCCCCCAGAGGATGCTGTTTCTGTGTCTGTGAACACTCTGCTGAACGGGCACCCGCACAAGGTAGGGACCCTGGCGGCTCTCTGCGAGGGCGGCAGTGCCCAGGGGAGGGGCTGGGTTGTCAGGTGCCAGCTGAGGGAAGTGAAGCTGAGGAGTGCAGAATCCCTCATAGAGCATGAGGTGGTAAATCCTGTCCAGCTGCATGGGCTCTGCCAGGAGCTGGGGGTGGCAGTGGTGAAGTGGGGCCTGACTCCATGCCGGGCAGTGCCGTGCTGGTGTGACGTGTGTCCGGCTGGTGGTGTGTGGCCCTTAGCTCAGTACATGTGTCATGCCCCCTCCTCCCCCCGATGATGCTGCTTGCTCAGTCCATGTCTGTCCCACCGTGTGCCCACACACCCACTGACTGGGCCAGGGGCTGCCTGTCTGTACCCTGCCACCTTCCTAATGTCCTTCAGGCCATTGGCAGACTTGCTGCATGTGACTCTGCCCTGGCAGAGGGGCATGAGGGGGTCTTGACTGCAGATTGGGATTAGACAGAGCTACTCAGCCGTGGCATGTGGAGCTGAGCCTGTAACAGCTGGAATTATTGTGCATCCTTTAAAATTCCTCTTCCAGCTGCCAAGGCTGGGGATTGTGTCTTGGCCCGGCCAGTTGTGGGGAGCCCAGGACTATCACCTGGCCCATGTGGGACCCACCAGCTCCCCTGGGGCCATGTGTTGGGACTGGCAGGAGCCCTTATGCCCCGCTGCCTTCCCCCATCCTTGAGCTGAAGCAGAGCAGGGGCCGGGTGTTTGGACCCCAAGGTGGGCAGGAACCCCTCCCAGGCGAAGGGAAGTTCATCCCTTGGGCTAGAGTTGACCTGTCCTGGCCAGTGGCCGTTAACCTGCATCGCTCCCGGCCAGGGCGGGGACTGCTGCGGGGATGGCTTCTCCACGTTTGATGTGCCCATCTTCACTGAGGAATTCTTGGACCAGAACAAAGGTACGGAGCCTGGAGGAGGGGGGGATTTAACTTGCTGGGGCAGTGACCGTTCTGCATTCTGTTTGCACAGCGCCTAGCGCGGTGGGGTTCCCTAGAATACTATCAGCGACACAGCCCAGGCCAGGGGCGGGGGAGGCTAGAGACTGTGGTTCCCAGTACTCTCACCTCCCAGCAGGGGGCAGGCCCAGGATCCCTGGTGTAAATAGACCTCTGGGGCTTGCCGTAGCTGATCTCACCATGGCCCATGTGGCTGGTCAAAGCTTGATCCTTCCCAGCAAGCCAAACTAGACCCCTAATGCCCCAAGGCGAGTTTGGGGTGGGCGGGGGTCGCAGCCTGTGGATTTGGCCTGCTGATCCTGTCAGCTTCACGGCAGGGTGCCAGACAGCCCTCGGAACAGAGTCGCTGATCCCAGCTTCCTGCCTGGAGTCAGCTTCCACCTCAGTTGGCCCAGCAGGGGCCAGGTGCAGGGGCTGATGGGCCGAGAACATGGGCAGCACCTAGCGCCGTGGGGCCCTGATCCTGGCTGGGGCCTTGGGGCTCTGCCATAACCGAAGTCATTGATGGCACCGCTGTGTGAGCCCTGCGTTGGCCCCAGGCCTGTCTCGAGTTGGGGGGAGCTGGGCTCTCCCCCTTCCTCTGCACTGACCCGCCCTCCTGTCTGCGGTGGGGCAGCGCGGGAGGCTGAGCTGCGGCGCCTGCGGAAGATGAACACGGAGTTCGAGGAGCAGAACGCTGTCCTGCAGAAGCACACGGAGAGCATGAGCTGCGCCAAAGAGAAGCTGGAGCAGGAGCTGGCAGTGGAGGAGAGGCAGACGCTGGCCCTGCAGCAGCAGCTCCAGTCCGTCCGGCAGGCCCTGACCGCCAGCTTCGCTTCTCTCCCCATCCCAGGTGAGCCCAGGAGGCAGAGAGAGGAGGATCGTGGGAACACTGCCTACGGGGAGCCTCTGCCTGAGCAGTCCACTGGCTGTCGGCTGGGCTGTCACTAGAAAGGGGGAGCCCGGGGGTCTGATACTCTGCACATGGGGGGTGGCTGGAGGTGAGGCTTGGGGTCTCAGAAATCTCCCTCCCTTTCCCTCTAATCTCAAAAGATCCCAAAGCACCCCATGGTGGCCTGAAGAAAGGAGTCTCTGGCACTCTGGCCCCCACGCTCCCCCAGGCTGGGGTGTGGCTGGCTCAGCACGCAGCCAGCAGGTGGAGGCAGAGGGTGGAGAAAGTGTCTGTGTCAGAGCGTGGGGGTCTTCCCAACACGCCCACGTGTGGTAAACTCACTCTGGGGGTGAAGGGCCAACTGGGATTTGACCCAGATGTTGCAGGGGACGAAAGGGGTGGGCCTCAGAGCTGAGCTCTCCACCCAGTGTGGAAACGCCCTGGAAAGGGCCACGGGCGAGGCATCCTGCCCCTCTCTGTAGAGTGTCAGTCCTAACCCCTACAGGGCTGCCTGTGCATCGCAGCAGCTGGCCTCTGGGGGCACTGGGCTCGGGACTCCGGCTGGGCTCCTGCGCTTTGCTAACCAGGCCCCTGTCCCCAGGCACCGGAGAGACGCCCACGCTGGGCACCCTGGACTTCTACATGGCCAAACTGCACAGCGCCATCGAGAGCAACCCGCTCCAGCACGAGAAGCTGGTCGTGCGCATCAAGGAGATCCTCTCCCGGATAGCCAGGTGAGCGGGAGACTCTTCCCTGCCAGGCCTGAGGACGGGGGGCTGGGGTTCTCCTGCAGGGTTCGGTGACCGGTGGGCCTGGGCATTGGCCATGGCAGCTGAGATCCTGGCAGGTGCTCAGTACCCAGAATTCTGTGTGTGAGGCCAGAATTGGTGTGGCGGGTGGGGAGCCAGGGCTCAGCAGGTGAGAGCAGGATGTGGTGGGATTGACCCAGGCTGCCCTGATGCTTGGCTTCTCCCTGGACCATTCTTGGGGGATGGGGGAGGCATGTGGGTCCCCTACAGCATGCCACACCCTGGTGTGGTGGTGCTGGTTGGGAAACCCCTGGTGCCAGGGGCTGCAGGGAGATCTTTGCTGCATGGCTGCACTCTGCCTAGGCCCCAAGCCCGTTCTGACCGCCCCTTGCAGCCAACCACCCCTTCCTGGGACACAGAGCAGCCCAAATGCCCCCAGGGCACCCACAGGCCAGCTCAGGGCTGAGCAGATCTGTGACTGGAAGGGTCCATGCTTGGTGCTTGTAACTCCATGTTTTGGGGCCCACGTGGCCAGGGGAGGCCCCCATTTTAAATGGCAGCTGTGTAGGGGAGGGATGTCCTGGGGTCCCTCTCCCTGCTGGGATTTCCTCCCCGCTCTTCCACAGGGGCCCAGGAAGTTGCATGCTGACCGCTAGAGCTGCCCTGAGCTCGCTGGCTGGAGCCCAGCCTTGCCTGGCAGGGACTGGACTTGGTCGCTGTCCCACAGCTGCTCGGTGACTCATGTGAAGTGGGCTGCTGGCTTTGACTCAGTTTCCTGGGGGCAGGTGTCTGCATTGCAGCATCTGCCCCTGGAGTGAACAGACTCGTGTGGCAGTGAATGGGCACTGCCTGTTCTGAGGAGGAGCACTCCCTCCGGCCCCACACCACTGCCCCCCCCCCCCCCCGCCGCCGCCGCCCCCTGAGCTGCTGAATGAGCCGCGAGTGCCTAAGCAAGCTGTGTTTTTCCTTCCTGTTTTTAGTGAACACTTATGAAAGGCCTGGTGTGTCCTGCGGCCCAGCGCTGACTCAGACTGGGACCCTCAGCCACCTCCTCCCACCCGCCCTGACACCTGGAATCCGCTGGAGCCTTGCGGCTCAGCACCTCCGCTTTGCACAGATCTTTGCTGGAGAAGGTCCTTTGAAAGGGTTGAGTAACTCTTGGTCCTTCCGTGCAGCTGAGAACTGTGGGCCAGGCCTCTGTGGGGTCTTGGGGGGCAGGCTGCCAAGCAGGGACAGCAAGGCAGCTTGCAGGGTCACTTCTCGGCTCCTCCTGAGCCCCTGGCTCGCTGACTGCCAGGTCTAGGGCTTAGTGCAGCGCCCGGGCGGTATGACTGGATGTGCTGCAGGCTCCGCGTGCCCCATTGCAAACTGGCCCTCCGTTCTCCAGCGAGGCCCCAAGATTGTGCAGCGATGCTGGAAATCCTGCAGCAGCTGCATTAAATTAAACCACACAGCCTTAAAGCTGACCAGAAGCTGCCCCTGGCCGCTCACTGTGACAGTAAATCAGGTGTGTCTCGGGCTGGCCCCACCTTCCAGTTGTCAAGGTAATGGAGAAGTCTGTCTTGCCAAGGCAGGGCAGAAGTGCTCGTCGCTGGGAGGGTGCTGGTGTAGACCAGGCACTGCTGTCCTTACCCGTGTCACCTAGACCTGTGCCGAGCAGAAGAGGACACAGCAATGATAATGCCACTGTCCTACCCATGTTAGCGCAACCTCCCCTAGAGCTGCATCAATATTTGGGCAAAAATAGATGGGTTCCTCCTTCCCCCCCACACAAAAAATGTCTACTGTAGACCAGCCCAAGCTATCAGCAGTGAAACGGTTCAGTGTTGGCATTGAAACTACCATTGTTAGGTTTCAGAATTAACCCATTGCAGTGAATGGGGCTGTTCACCCCCGTGGAGCAGTTGTTTCAGGCTGTCTGCAGACTCAGGCACTCACGCTTGAGTCACATGAAGGCTGTCGCTCTTTGAGCGCTGCGATCCTGGCAGTGTGTAGTGGGGTGGGAGCTCTGCTCCCCTACCCCTAAAATAGCATGGCTGAGTATTATGGGGCTGGCCCTGCTGAGCCCTGCCCTAGGGGGCCTGGGGAAGCCATGTCTGCACGCCGGGGTCAGGCCAGCTTGCTTGTTCTCAGCATGGGGTCCTCTGCCTTAGTTAGCTAAGGGGCATGTTTGTAGTGTGGATGGGACCAGCTCGGTCAGAACTGTGCCGGGACCAGCCTGATCAGTCTAGTTACAGTCCTGCTGCCTGGAACAGGTCCTTGTCTGCATTTGGGTCTGTGGTGTAGATGGGCCCTTATCTAATCTTAGGGTCTGTGTTCACTGCTGAGTTAACCCAGGCTCTTACCCCAGTGGAACCTCAGCCCACTCCTGTCCACACACAACCTTGTCCTCTGAGTTTGGTGGTGCTCTCAACCCCGGTTATCTGGCCCGGGTGCCACTTTCACTTGGATGGGAACCTGCCCACTTTGCAGTGAGGGCGCAGGCAAAAATCACTCCGTGCTGACAATCCTCCAGCACCTTTCCACAGTTCCCCCCCATGTGCCCAGGAGGACAGACAAGTTCTCCCACACTTCACTGGGAAAGATCCCTAGAGCAGCTCAGCTCACTGCAGCACAAAGCACCTGGGAAAAGCCCCTGATGTCCTTGTGACACCCAGGCAAGAGCCATGCCAGCGTGGGCACAGTAACAGGTGAGGCGCTGCTCGCCCTGGCTGGGCTGGCCTGGGCTCAGACCTGGGTGCAGATCATCTGCGTTACTCTGCAGTGTAGTCATACCCCACGAAGTGTAGGCATGAGTCTCCAGGGTTATCATATTCAGTTCCCTGCCATCCTGTCCTGAGCCCACAGGGGCTGGGAGGGGCAGAGGCTGCTGAGGGTGGGCAGACAGCACCCATTTAATTGCCCAGTAGGTGCCCGGAGCTCTGGGGAGGTGGGACAGTGCAATTTAGAGAGCTGTGCCCTGGCGGGAGGGTGCCATTCTCTGTGCGTGGGCAGGGTGGGAACCCCACTCCATCCTGGCCAATCCTGCAGACGCCGCACCAGAGATGGCCACTGAGGGCACGTCTACATTGCAGTTCAAACCCACGGCTGGACTGTGCTGGCTGATTCGGGCTCATGGGATCTGGGCTACAGGGCTGTGTAATTGTGGTGCAGATGTTTGAGGTGGGAGGGTCCCAGAGCATTGAGCCCGAAAGCCCCTTAGCCCGAGCCCTGCAAGCACAAGTCAGCTGGCCCAGGCCAGCCACGGGTTGTTAATTGCAGTGCAGATGTGGGCTCAACTCTTAACGCTTGCCAATCAGCCATAAAGGCTAGAGATGTGATCTGGCTCCAAACGCCCTCGTAGCTGGGGCAGGGGGCCTGGCCCAGCTCAGACATTTCATTTATTTTTACAAAGAAGTTATTTAATCCAGTCTGAAGTTGACTGTGACCGAACCTCTGGGTGAGCAGCGAAGAGTCGCTCAGTTCCCTCCCGGAGCCTCCTTCCGATGGGTGAACCCCACGTGGTGCCCTCTTGCTTCAGGACACGCATTGCTAATCCCTCTCTGTGTTGGTCTGGCCTGTGAGAGGTGGGGCTGGAGTGTGACGTTTTGATTTGGTTTTGGTGAGCAGTGAGGACCTCATAGAAGAAATGATTGTAGGGGGACAACCTTAATTCCAGCGATCATAAGCTAATTCAGTTCAAACTAAATGGAAGGATAAAGAAAAATAGATCTGTGTCTAGGATTTTTTATTTCAAAAAGGCTAACTTTAAAAAATTAAGGAAATTAGTTAGGGAAGTGGATTGGATTGAAAAACTTGTGGATCTAAAGGCGGAGGAGGCCTGGAATTACTTCAAGTCAAAGTTGCAGAAACCATCAGAAGCCTGCATCCCAAGAAAGGGGAAAAAATTCATACGCAGGAGTTGTAGACCAAGCTGGATGAGCAAGCATCTCAGAGAGGTGATTAAGAAAAAGCAGAAAGCCTATAAGGAGTGGAATATGCAAGGAGCGCCAGGTACTTGGGAGGAGCATGGTATGCACTGTGGGGACATGGCAGGATCCGTCCTTCCCTGGGGACGTACCATCTGCATGTGCTACCACTTGGAAATGCCTGTCCTCAACCATGGCACCTGGCAGCATCCCAGCCCCAGCCCTGCTCCGCCAGTAACACAGTGCTTTTCCACCTATGCTCCGCGGACCACTGGGCAGTCACTGACTATGTCTAAGGGGTCCACGAAAGGGCGCCGTTACCATAGCACAGTGGTTTTTAGGGGTCCACAGGCTGGGTAAGATTTCCAAAGGAGTTTGCACCTTTATTCGAGATTTGTAGGGGTCTGTAAATGAGAAAAGGTCACAAACCCCTGGAATAGCAGGTCTTGCGTGGCTGAGAACAGCTTCTCAGTTACAAGGGGATGGGCCATGGCGTGGGAGCTCTGGGAAAACTCCCCGCTCTGCCACCGACCTAGGGCCCATCTCTGCAGGGGAGAGTGGCTCCCTTTCCTGCCTCCCGAGGGCTGTGAGGCCAGATTCCCCAGCCTCGGCAGGGTGCTGAGATACTCCAGTGATGGGGCTGTGCTGAGTGCGCTCTGGGAGCTGCATCCACTGTGTCCTGCTGAGCAGCATTTTCAGTGCCTCTCATTCTACATCACCTGAGTAAGGTCAGTGACTTAAAAGTTCCCCTTGTGCAGGAGCTGCCCTCGGGCCTGCAGTGCCCATCCCTGTTCTGCAGAGCTCGGGGGTCTCTGTGTCTTAACTCAGCGTACCTCGGTAAGTGGGGTTAGTCACTGATCTCGGATCCTGTAATTAGAGAGATTATTTTCTTACTAGCACTACGTAACAAGCGCAATTTCCAATTCGCAGTAGCCTCTCCCTTGGGGCTAACGCTGTCTGCTATGGAGCAACAGCCAGAACCGCTCTGGTCTGGGTAAGCTGCTCCCTGGGGCAGCCCTTCGGCCGCAGCCTGCAGTGCCTGGGAACGGCCAGGGAGACGTTTGATACAAATAAAAATGGGGTAGAGACCCAATCTGGTGCCCTGAGTGAAAGTGGTTCAGGGGTAGGGGTGGGATTGTGGGCGAAGTGTGTTGGGTGGGTGTAGGGTGACCAGACAGCAAGTGTGAAAAATTGGGACGGGGATGGGGGTAATAGGAGCCTATATAAGAAAAAGACCCCAAAATTCAGACTGTCCCTAAAAAATCAGGACATCTGGTCACCCTAGCTGGGCGGCTGTAGCGGCACAGCCGTGGTCCCTGCATTGTCACCAAGTGACAGCTAGGTACGGGAACAGCCGAACCCCTCCGTGTCTCCTGGCTTCGGCAGGGACAACAGGAAGAAGCTCAGCCCCTGGCTATCTCCTCCTTTGGCACGGTGCAAATCTGGGGGCTAGGGGCCTGCCCTAGATTACAAACAGAGCCACCACAGGCCCCATTCCTGAGCTGCTCCTCTGTAGCTGCCGTTCTCTCTAGTCCCAGAGCCCTGCACCAAGGGTGTCTTTGGAAGGCTGGTGCACACCCAGAAATCAGCCAGTCGTTCTTAGCAGCGCTCGCTCTGAGCTAGCGTTCAGTGTCCTAGGCAATGAGGCTTCTAGCATGTGTCTAGCTTGACTAACCCTCTTTCAGAGGTGAATGACAATATTTGCAAAGGGCTTTGAAGATGAGCATCTCAGAGGCTGGAGGGTTTTGTGGCAAAAGCCCAGGTCTGGGAATTGGCAGATCTGGGCCCCTCCTTGGCTGTGCCACAGACGCCTGTGTGACCTTGGGCAAGACACATGACTTGAGATTAGAGATCTGGATGCTGGACAAAGCTCAGGGTGAGGGAAGTGGAGTGTTTGTGAGCAGCATGTGATTCTAGAGCAGAGACAGTGCAGGGACAAGTGCCCCCTAGTACACAGATCCACAGTGCTTCAAAGTCTCTCAGAACCAGTAACCAACACCCACTTCAGCCACCGCTGTTCACAGGAGTTTGGTCCCGTGGTAGTTCCATGCTCCCCGATTAGGCCTCGCACTGCCCACTTTGCGTGTGGGGAAACTGGAGAGATAGTAAATGACTTTAAAACTTCCCTACTAGGCGGGGACCCCGTCTAAGTGACTGTCCTATTGACGCAACCCACACGTTCCCTTGGGTCAACGGATTGGTGTCTCCACGATTCCAGATCAATGCGACTCAACTCACATGGCAGAAGAGCCTTTTTATTTTCTCCCAAACTCTCCCTAGGATCTGAAAGTCAAGTTGGGTTCCCCTGCCTCCCGCAGCAGCCCCAGCTGGTTGTCCCTTTTTCCGGTGCACAAGATGGAACAGAATCCTTCTAGCTGTTCTGCATCCAGGCAGTTCCTGCAGGGCCAAGGACTTGGTGGTGTCAGCCAAGGCTGCGAGTCTGGCATGAAGACACAGAAAGGGGCAGAGACAGAGTGCAGCCGTGTGAAATATTTGCCTTATCATTAAAATCCCACCCAGAACTCAAAGTTCTTGTTTAGATTTCCTTCGTCTGGGTTTTGCAAAGAGCTCAGCTGCTGCTCTCCCGTCCAAGAGGAAATCCCAGCGCTGGACCAGAGATGCCGCCTTCTGATGCAGATAACTTCAACCTTGAGACCAGAGTGCAGCTCTTCCATGCTTCTGGTGAAAAGCCAAACCCACTGCTCTTGCCAAGCAATTCAGGCAAAGTCCCCTTTGGGGCAGGGCACCATGTGGGCTGAAACCAGCTGGGAGGGGGGTTGTTTACAAAACTCACTCCTCCAAAGCGATAACTTCCACGCACTGCTCCTGCCAAGACTGGCCAGGGGTCGGGGACATCCGCCAGGGGCTGGTCCCTGTAAGAGGCTTAGGAGTCTGCTACTGCCTCGGGCCTGGCCAGACTGGGGGAGGTTTAGGTTGGATATTAGGAAAAACTTTTTCACTAGGAGGGTGGTGAAGCCCTGGAATGGGTTACCTAGGGAGGGGTGGAATCTCCTTCCTTAGAGGTTTTCAAGGTCAGGCTTGACAAAGCCCTGGCTGGGATGATTTAGTTGGGGTTGGTCCTGCTTTGAGCAGGGAGTTGGACTAGGTGACCTCCTGAGGTCCCTTCCGACCCTGAGAGTCTGTGGCTCTGGAGCATTGGGGTGGAGGCTGCTTCGCGGCCCAGTGCTGCCTGTGCATTTCCTGGCCGGGACCGGCAGTGGGGTTTGAACAGCTGTCCATCTCCGGTGCTTGGGCGGCCGTGCCCCTGGCCAGGGGAAGTGTGTAACCCTTGGGAACCCAGCATGGTCCTTTGTTCCCCCTCAGGTGTGCAAGATGCTGCTGCCTTGGAGTGACCAGAGCCCAGGTGCCAAAAGCTTATGCACATACATCCCCAAATTGCTGGTTCAGTCCCTGGCAGTGACCCATCATAAGTGCTTAAGAAGGTGTTTTTATAGGGTCGCTCTCCTGACGGTAAACATACACTGGCCGTTAGCTGGAAGCTGCGGTGGTGGAACAGCCAAACCCCTGTTGCCCCTGGTAACCTCTCAGCACAGCTGCTGTTCCCAGGGGTTTGCTTGCTGGCTCTTCCTGCTCCCCAGGTCCCTGCAGCTTGGAGCTCTGCCTGTGTGGAGGGGAGCTCATCTGACACTCCTCGAATTACCTGCGCTCCGGGGATCAGATTCCCTGGGCTGAGAGCTGGGGCGATCTATAATTCAGCAGGGGCAGCTGCCATTGTGGCCCTGAAAGCAGGGCAACAGGATGCTGCGGAGATCAGGCCGGCGAAGCAAGAAGGCAGGCGAGGAAGAGGAGGAGAAGCCCATGGAGAATGGGGTGTCCCCGGAGCAGGGGGCCACGGAGGCCCCGCCTGAAGTGGGGAAACCTGGGGATGGTGCCCCCGCTGCCTTCTCGCAGCCATCCCCGTGGGTCCGGCCCAGGCTGGTCTTCCACACGCAGCTGGCCCACGGCAGCCCCACGGGCAAGATCGAGGGCTTCACCAATGTGAAGGAGTTGTATGCCAAAATCGCCGAGGTCTTCGACATCTCCCCCACTGAGGTGAGGCAGGAGCAGCATGGGGTGGGGGGCGGGGCAGCGGCTAACCCAGCCGAAGAGCCGGGATACCTGAGCCTGACACACCTGTGCCAAGGCTCCCCTCTGCCCTTGATCTGGGGTGGGGTGGGGGGGTCTGCTGCTAGCCTTTGGAGCCCTGCACATTCCAGCTAGCTGGCTCTGGTCCCCAGAGGGTTAAGGCCAAGCTCTGGTTACAGCTGCAGGGCTTGCCTCCATGGCGCCATAGCATCTGCCAGGACCTGGGCTGCCTTCCAGGGTCCATCTGGTACATGCCGTTCCTGTGCCGTCATGACAAAGCCCGCTGTGGGCGGGAGCCCTGGGTTCTAGTCCCAGCTCCACCGTGACTCTCTCTCTGACCCTGGGCAAGACACATCTCCCCTCGGTGCCTCAATTTCCCCATCTGACCCACCTTTCAAAAGATCTGCGCCTAGAAGTGGCTGTGCAATCAGTAGGGGTGATGAAGAAAACTCTGGCTGGTTTGTTCCTTAGCCAAGACACCTGGGACTATCAAGACCAGTTGGCACAGGTTTACCTATGCTGTGGTTGTCTGCCTCCCCTATGGGGCTGGGTGCTTTGAGATCCTCAGCTGAATGCTGCTAGGGAGAGGCACGTTATTCCACGGATTGTCCTGTCGGGGTGCTGGTGGCCTGGGGGATCAGTAATGGGCTGCTGGACCTGTCGCCTTTAACATGGTTCGATCCAGCCCGGGCGAGTTGTGACTCTCACTTGTTACCATCTGATGCTGCTCAGTAGCTTGCATGAAACGGGTTCAGTGAGTCTCTGTCGCTCTCGTGTGGGCAGAGCTGGGGCTGCCTGTTAGCTCCTGTGGGTTGTTCCTGTTCGTGCTCAGTTCACGACTCTGGATAGGGCCACAGTAACCCGTGCTGCTGCGGGTGCCCTCTGCAGCAGCGCTGGGCTGGAGAGAGCCTGCCCCTGCCCCTCCAGCTTGTCGGGGTCAAGCTTGCGACCTCCGCTGTCGCACTAGCAGCATAGTGTACAGGAGACACCAGATCCATGTCTCAGAAATTCACCCTAGTTATTCTTTAGCTACAGGCCCCAAACGAACCCAGGGCCCTGATTGTGCTGGGCGCTGCACAAACACTGTCAGCCAGGCCCTGTCTCCAAAGAGTGAAATCTAAACAAGCCAGACAGGGAAGGATGGTTATCCCCATTTTACAGATGGGGAAACTGAGGCACAGGGAAACTAAGAAATTTGCCTGAGGTCCCACAGGGTAAGGAAATGTACTGAGTCCAACCTGGTCAATTCACTGACAGCCAACTTGCTTCTTTAACAACAAAACAACAAAAGCCCATCATGTTTGTGGTTTGAAAATGCACCTAATTTTGCCCACTCTGAGTTGCAGACCCTGGAGTTCCAAGGAAGGCCGGGTGGGGACAGCTCAGCTCTGTGGGTTATTCATTTATTTTTGCACAGTGATGATCACCCAAAAGGCCTTTGGCTCAGGGCGCTGCCAAGACGGAATCAATGATCAGTAATAATGCGGGGTTGTCATGTGTGGTTGTGGGCCTCCGTTTTCACGAGCGGCTGCAGTAGGGAATGGGAACGTCTCCAACAAATGCAAGGCTCGCTTTCCCGATTGGCCCATTTCCCTTTCCTTGAAGTGAACACCTTTCACGTGATCATCAATGAACAAAAATGGATAAAATAAGCCCCAAAACTGACTTGTCCCTCCAAGGCAAAAAGCAGAGTTCCAGGGTCTGCAACTCACAATGGGCAAAAAGGGGTACATTTCCCACGTTTGGGGACGCTTGGGGGTATCATGGTGCTGGGTGCTCTGTGTCTCTCTGCATGCCAGCCGCTGCCCCGCTGAGCTGTTGGGTGGAGGGTGTTCCAAGCTCCCAACCCCGGTGGGCAGAACGGTGAGGCAGCTGCTCTCTGGCAGATCCTCTTCTGCACCCTCAACACCCACAAGGTGGACATGCAGAAGCTGCTGGGGGGCCAGATCGGCCTGGAGGATTTCATCTTCGCACATGTGCGGGGCGAGACCAAGGAGGTGGAAGTGACCAAGACGGAGGATGCACTGGGGCTGACCATCACTGACAACGGGGCGGGCTATGCTTTCATCAAGGTGGGTGAGGGCCATGGGCTGGAGGGGCTGCAGTGGAGGAGAGGGAATTGTGCCAGGAACAGCCAAGAATTATCCATCAGGAGAGTGGTTTTTTGTTTGGTTTGGTTTTTTTAATGGAAAATTGGGTTTTTGTTGAAAAGTGGCTGTCAGCTTCTTGTGGGAAACCTCCAGTGTTTGTTTAAAAACTGCACCCCCAACCCCCAAACTGTCTGGAGTTGGGAACCCTGCCGTGGTGCCTCCTGGGAGCCGCGGTTTGGGTGTTTTGTGTTCCCATTCTCCTTACTCCCCAGCTGGACTCCATCTCCCATGATGCACTGTGACTCTGACACCCATAATGCCTCACCAAGAGGGGAGAGCCTGGTGCATTGTGGAAGTAGTAGTCCAACCTGGCAGGACGGCCCATAAAGGAGGGTGGGAGCAACAATCACTGAACTACAACTCCCATGGGGCACCAGGTGGCGTTTCGCAATCAAAATATTTCTGTTTTCTATTTGTTGCTGAAAAATCAAAACTTTGGGGGGGTGAGAGCAAGGGGACTTTTCAGGTCAGACAGTCCAGGACGGGGCTTGTGGTCCAGGGGCCAGGGAAGGCTGGTTTCCAGGAGATGGCCCATCGGGCGGCTCATGCACTCCAGCCCTGGGACTCCTGAGCTGGGAGCAGAGAGTTTACAGATGTTTATTCTCATTAAAATCACCTCCCCACACAATGTAAATGTCCCATTCACTGCACACAGCAGGGAATCCCCCCGGGCAGGCTCTAAGCACATGGAGTCAGATGGAGATGAGTGGGGACATGGAAGAAATGGTACCGAAAGAAGAGCGCCTCGTTTGAGGAGGCAGCTGAGAGAGCATTGCTGAAAGGCTCTGAGAGCAGGGCTGCTCTAGAGAAGGCAGAGTGGGGGCCTCTGATCTCCCCCTCTCATGAGGTGAGAGTTGGGGTCAGGCAATGACATGGAAAAGCAGCAGATTTGAAACTGATCCAAGGTGATACCTGTGGATCCCACTGGCAGCCTGTGGAACTCACTGCCACAAGATACCAGGGAGTCCAAGAGCATGGCAGGACTCAGAAAAGGGCGTGGACATGGCTACAGAGCAGTGGTTCTCAACCTGCAGTCTCCCTGGTTCAGGGCACGAGCCAGCCTCTAGCCGGGGGGGTCAGCAGGGCCCCCGACCAAGGACTGGTTACTGTATGGCTGCCTGCAGGGATTCTCGCACCTTCCTTGGAAGCAGCTGGTGCTGGTGCCAGGAGATTGGCTGGGTGGGGCCACCAGGGTGATACCTGAGGAGCCAGGGGAACTCAGCTGAAGACAAAAATATTCAGGGAGCTGCTTTCTGAGAGAGAGCCCTGCAGCTGGGGGGAGGGGGTCAGAGCCCTGCAGATGGGGGGAGAGGGGCAAATACCCCCCCATAAAAGGAAACCCCACAGGAAAAGTAGCCTGAAGCTTTGCTCAGCTGGACATGATTTCCCCCTGCAGAGAAGGGAGGGGAGCCCCCCCGCATTGCCCTTCCCAAGGGCTGGGTTCTCTCCAGGCCAGCCCAGGGTCATGGAGGCAGAGCAGGGCTGATTTCAGGCAGGGCCTGGGGCCCCAGATGCCAGCCGGCCCCATTGCACTGGGTGCTGCCCAGCCCAACATCCACGTTCCCAGTGTGACAGGGTTGGGCCAGATGGCTGTAGGAGAGTAATAGAAGGCAGATATATTAGGCCCAGGCTAAGTAGGTCCCTTTTCCCTGGGTAAGGGAAGGTTCCAGAACAGGGAAGATTCCAGAACAATCAGGAACCTTCTGGAGACAATTAAGACAGGCTGATTAGAACACCTGCAGCCAATCAAGAAGCTGCTGGAATCAATTAAGGCAGGCTAATCAGGGCACCTGGGTTTTAAAAAGGAGCCCATTTCAGTTTGTGGTGTGCGTGTGAGGAGCTGGGAGCAAGAGGCACCAGGAGCTGAGAGTGAGAACGCGGACTGTTGGGGGACTGAGGTGTACAAGTGTTATCAGACCCCAGGAGGAAGGTCCTGTGGTGAGGATAAAGAAGGGGTTGGGAGGAGGCCATGGGGAAGTAGCCCAGGGAGTTGCAGCTGTCACACAGCTGTTCCAGGGGGCACTCCACAGCTGCAATCCACAGGGCCCTGGGCTGGAACCCGGAGTAGAGGGCGGGCCCGGGTTCCCCCCCAATCCTCCCAACTCCTGGTCAGACACGGGAGGAGTCGACCTGGACTGTGAATTCAGAAAAACGGCCAAGCTGAGGGCTGCCGTGAAGCTCCAAGGCGAGCAAATCCGCCAGTAAGCGCAAGGCCCACCAAGGTAGAGCAGGAACTTGGTCACACCCGCCAGGCAGTCACCGCTCCAGGCAGTTCACAAGCAGCTGCTTCCTGCCCTGCGAAACTGGGGGTGGGGGCTGGAGAAACACCCGCTGTTGTTGTGCTAGGGGGGTCCTGGTGTTGTCACTCCCCAGCCCCACCCCAGGGTGCAGCTCTAAGGTCATCCCCGCTGCCCAGTAGCGCTGCTCCTGATGGCTGGGAGGCACCTGCATGGACACCCCCCATGTGTAAGGACCGGGAGCAGCTCAGCCCTGCTGTGTCCCCATGCCCCCTTCTACCCCCAGCCGGCCGTGTTCCTCCACCCCCACTGACTGGCATGTCCCACGCTCCAGAGGATCAAGGACGGGAGCGTCATGAACTGCGTCCAGACTGTGTGCGTGGGCGACAGCATCGAGGCCATCAACGACCAGAGCATCGTGGGCTGCCGCCACTATGATGTTGCCAAGATGCTGCGGGAGCTGCCCAGGGCCCAGCCCTTCACCCTGCGGCTGGTGCAGCCCAAAAGGGCCTTTGGTGAGTTACACAAACACGCGCACACCAGACACTCTGCAGCTGCAGGGCCAAGTGTTTGCTGTCCCTGGCCTTTAACCCCGGGGGATGGGGGTTAAACCGGCTGCCTGAGCGTCACAATCTGCTGCAGATTTGCCCTTATCACAGAACCAGCATTCAGAATAACTGGGAATCTCTCCTAAGTGGAGACCCCAGGCTGCGGGTCGGGAGTGAGGGGCACCGGCCGAGCTGGGTGAGGGGAGCCCAGACCTGGGACGGCAGGGGCTGTGGGTTGGGAGTGAGGGGCACCGGCTGAGCTGGGTGAGGGGAGCCCAGGGGTGGGCTAGCAGGGGCTGCGAGTCGGGAGTGAGGGGCACCGGCTGAGCTGGGTGGGGGGAGCCCAGGGGTGGGCTAGCAGGGCTGCGGGTTGGGAGAGCCACGTGCTGACTGGACCTGCTCGGGCTGGTCGGAGATCTGTGCCGTTCCGTGTGCCCGGAGCTGCAATCCCAGCATTGGAAGCCGGGTTGCTGGGCTGGATCACCAGGAAGCCATGGCGCAGCCCTGGTGTTCTTCCATTTGCCCCTTCTCCCCACCGACCTCCGCCCGCCCCCTCTCTCCTGCTCCCCGGGGGAACGTCGGGCAGCCCATGTCGGTGTCTCCCACCAGAGGTGCACGGACAGCTGGGCTGGGCCCTGGCCTGAAGCCTAGCTAGGCCTGTAACCAGCGCTGCTGGGGGCTGAGTGAGTCCCCGGGGCTGGGCCCGGCCACTGGCCCCTGGGTTGAGGTAGGGGTGCCAGGCATCCGGGTTTCGACCAGAACAGCCAGTCGAAAAGCGCCCCAGGCGGCTCCGGTCAGCACCACTGACCAGGCCGTTAAAAGTCCGGTTGGCGGCGCAGCGGGGCTGGCAGGCTCCTGTGACGCTGTGTGGCTCCCGGACTCAACTGGCATGTCCGGCTCCTAGGCGCAGGGGCAGCCAGGGGGCTCTGTGCGCGGCACCCACCCTGAGAGCTGGCTCTGCAGCTCCGTCGGGCTGGGACCTCGGCCAATGGGCGCTGCAGGGGTGGCACCTGTAGGTGGAGACAGCGCGCAGCGATCCCTGGCCGTCCCTTCACCTAGGAGCCGGCCATGCCGGCCGTTTCCAGGAGCTGCCCGAGGTAAGCGGTGCCCAGAGCCTGCACCCCTACGCAGCCCTGAACCTCCCCCCCCCATGCCCCAACTTCCTGCCCCAGCCCTGAGCCCCTATCCGCACTCCAAACCCCTCGGTCCCACCCTGCACCCCAGAGGCCCCTCCTGCACCCCAAATCCTTCATCCCCCCCAGCCTGCAACCCCCAGCTAGAGCCCTCACCCGCTTCTGCAACCCTGCCCCAGCCCGGTGAAAATGAGCGAGTGAGTGAGGGATGGAGTGAGCAGGGGGCTTTGGAGCAGGAGCGGGGCCTCAGGATGGGGGAGAACAAGGATGTTTGGTTTTCTGTGATTAGAAAGTGGGGAACCCTAGTTTAGGTTGAATTAATTGTATTAATTGGGGAAGGGAGCTTGAATCCGATTAATTCAGGCCTGGGACCGGCTCGGGGCCTTTCTGCTTCCACCCACTGTGCAGCCCAGGGATCAAGGCGACTGTGCACCCCTCAGGGCTGGGGGCTGCCTGCACTGGCTGAGCAATCGCTAGAATGAGTTAATGCCGTTCTCAGCCTCGCTGCAGCTTTTAATCCTTCCCACTGCCCTCCAACACTCAATTGCCCTCCCACATGCCTCACCCCAGCCCATGTCCTCTGACACTGATTTACCCCCCACTACTGCCCTCCCCCATATGCCCTCCACACTGCCCCCCATCACCCACAGGCTGCAGGCATCCAAGGGATACTTGGTCCTCACACAACCCTTGGCAATGTGCTGCTGTGGATCAGCGGCCATGTTCCACCCCAGAGGTGGCTGCATTCCAGTGATGCAGAGAGAAAGGCTCTGTGCTCTAGTTTTGGGGCAGTGTTCAATGGAGCCCGGGCTGTTCTTCCCGGGCTCCCATCTGGGGTTAGACCTTGGATAGGCCAGTTGACAGAACCCCTTCCTGCCCCACAGAGTGTGATAGACTCCAGTGGGCCCGATCCACCCCCACGCCCTGCCAGAGGTCAGTCACTTCCTGGGACTTCCTTTGGGGAAGGATGGGGGTGTTGGGACAGGGCCCCTTTGCCCAGGGCTTGCCTGGGGCCCAGGGGGTGTCCTGGGTGGAGCTGGGTCTTTGCTCCCCGGCTGGGCATGGTGCTTTGGCACAAGGAAAAGACACCCGGACCCTGTGCCTGCCCTGGCATCCGCTCTGAACAGCCCCCTCGCCCCCCGTCTGTGTCCCAGATATGATTGGGCAGAGGACCAAGAGCAGCAAGTGCCCAGGCGAGGGCAAGGTGGCCAGTGGCAAGGAGACCCTGCGGCTGCGTGCCCGGGGCACCGCCAGCCTGGAGGATGTGGTAAGTTGGGGGAGTGTATCCCCTCCCCATGACCAAATCGGGGGAGGAGGCGAAGGGGGAAAATACGTGTAAGAAGTGAAATCCCTGGGGGGCTGTGAGGTGAGGGGGGGGTCACACACGACCATTCCCCAAAGCAGGCTGCTGCCACTCCCTTCCCCTGGCCCAGCCCCCCAGCTCTGGCTCCCTGCAGGGAGTGCCTGGAATCGCTGCTCACGGGAGCTCTGCCCACGGACCCAGGTGTCCTAGCTAGAGAAGGCAGCTCCAGGACCTGCAGGGTGAGGGAGCCAGGGACTGGGCACGGGTGCCAGTGACTACACATTGTCACGTGTGCACATGCACGTGCTCACGCAGGTGGGTGCAGTCAGTCCCATGCGCGCATGGTGCTGTACATGCAGTCACCACCCATGCCAATGGGGACAAAGTCGGGTGCAAACATGCATGGCCCCAGAGAGGCCCCTACTCATGTGTGCGCCTGGTGTGTGCACACAGACCCGTGTGTATACTCACTGGCTGGCTGCCGCAGAGCCAGGCAGGGATGGGGTGGCAGGTACCTGCTCCCTGCCCCACCCTGGTGCTGCAAAGGGGATGTTTCCTGTCCTGGCCTCCTGCTATCCGCCTGGGGGTCAGAGTTCAGAGCCTGACCAGTGGTGCCGCTCTCCATGCCAGAGGGCCCCCGATTCTGGGCAGCACCCTCTCGCCGGGGGTTGGGAGGTGACTCTTGGGGGCAGGGGGGGGGTCCGAAACTAACAAGGAGCAAAAAGCTGGTCTGGGTTGGGCCAGGGAACGCCCTAATGCACAGTAGGACTCATCTGGCCAAGGCACCTCCTGCACCAGTGCCCCAGCTGGCTCCCCTGTGCCTGTGGGGGGTGCGCCCCAGTCCATGAAGGCCCCTCCCATGATGCCCAAGGCTGTCAACGGGCCGGCACGAGGGCCTGGCCCAAGGCCTCCGATCCAGCCCCCTGCAGCAATTAGGGGCCGAGAAGGTTGAACCAACAGTGACTCTGCTGCCCTGGCTCCTGCCCACAGCCCAGCGCCTGGGAGAAGGAGGCTGCCCGGAGGGTGGACGACCTGCTGGAGAGCTACATGGGCATCCGGGACGTGGAGCTGGGTGAGCAGGGCTGGCAGAGGGGGTGGGGAGGGGGCAGCTTCCAGGCCCCAGGGAGGAGGGGAGGGCAGGTCCAGGGTCCGGGGGGGGGGGGGCAAGGGCTGGTGTGGGGGAGTGCCGGGGCTGGGCCCCGGTGACATCCGGGGGAGGCCAGGGGCTGGGCCCCGGTGACATGGGGGAGGGCAGGGTTGGGGCGGGCAGACTGGGCCAAGGCCTCGCTGCCCTTCTCAGCAGGTCCCTTGGCCCCTGGGCCTGTCCCGGGGGCACTGGGGTCCAGCCCATCGCCCTGACCCCCCGGCTGAGCTCTGTCCTCTCTCCTCTCTCCATAGCCTCAACCATGGTGGAGGTGGCCCGGGAGTGCCTGAGCCCCGCAGAGTTTGCCAAGAGCCTGGACTCGGTGCTGGGCGAGTTCGCGTTCCCGGGCGAGTTCGTGGCCGAGGTCTGGGCCGCCATCCGTGGAGCCCAAGGGGGCAGGAAATAGGGGAGGGGGCAGAGCACTTGGCCTGTGACGTCTGCCCCCTGGCCACGGGCTCCCTCCTGCCCCAGCGGCAGCCCCCTGTCTTCCTGCTCCGGGGGGGAGCCCTGCGGTGCCCGCACTGGCTGGCTGGGCCCAGCTCCTGCCCCAGAGAGGCCCCACGCCGAGCTGGGCAGGGACTGGCAAGGGGCCCTCCGGGAAACCCAGGGGATCTGCCTCAGGCCCTGGTCAGATGGGGTGGTGGGCCCGGGGCGGGAGCAGTCCCTGCAGGCCGGGGCTAGTCCAGGCCCTGGTGCCCATCCTGGCTATGAGCCCAAGTAATGGCAGCTCCTCGGGGCCTTCCCTGGAGCCACTGCCCATCGCTGCCTCCCTCCTCCGCTCTCCGCACAGCGGCCAGGGCTGGCGCTGAACCCAGGGGGCAGTTGGGGGAACCCTGGGGGGGGACGGGGACAGGCCAGGACTCATGTGGGGACGTGGGGCTGGTGTGACTCTGACCGTTTCCTCGCCCTTTGCTCTGATGACCCCCCCCCCCCCCCCCCCGCCAGCCAGCGGGTGAGAGGGGCGGAGGCCCGCTCTGGGGGCGAGGGAGACGGGGGCAAAGGGGCCTGGCTCTGGGGGCAGGGGCCCATTGGGCTTGTTGGCCGCTGCATGACCAAGCATCTCTGTGCGGGTCCCTTGCCCACCCTGGGACCCACAGCAAGCCCAGGCTGGGCCGGGGGGCAGCAGGGGTACCCCGGTCATTCACAGGGCTGGGTCAGGGATTCTGGGTGGGGGTCAGGGCCAGGACCCCCAGGTCGTTTCCAGGGCTGGGCTGGAGATGCTTGGCGGGGGGGTAGGGCCAGGAGCCCCCTGCGAATTCCAAGGACCAGGTGCCCTCGTGCGGCTGTGGCATTTCCTGGCTGTCTGGCACCCGAGGGGCCCAAGGGGCCCAGGGACCTGGCTCAACAGCCCTGCGGAGGTGGGGAGCGGCGTGAAGGCATCAGCCAGCCCCTGCTGGCATGAGGGGCAATCAGGGGAAGGGAGGGGACTCAGCCCCCCCAACAGATCGTGGTGGGGATGCCAGCTCCACAGGACTGCTGGGGGCTGCCTCTCTTGGGGAGACCTGCGGCTTCAGGGTCAGGCGGGCTCCAACGCCCTCCCTGCCTTGGGGCGCAGATCAGACCCCGCCTCGACTGCTGGTGCTGGCCAGCCCTATGGAGCCGGCTTGCTGGGCCCAGCCGGGCTCTTTGCTGGGCGGGGGCCATTCTGGGGTGGCAGTCTCAAGGGAGGCCGTGAGGGTGAAGGGCTGCCCTGGCCGCAGGCTGCTCAGCACTGGCCACCTTGCCTACTCCCCATGGGGTGGGGGCAGGCCCAGGCCCTACCCTGGTGCATGGAGGAGCCGTGCCCACTGGCAGTGACCAGGGCAGAGAGCCAGACGGCTTCGGCTTGTTCAAAGCCTCTGTTTTGCTCTGGAGGCCCCGGGCCCCTTGGGTCTCGCTGCCCATCTCTCGGGGCACGGGGAGGGTTGAGATGAGGAGCGGCCGCTGATGGGAGAGAGACGGTCCTGGGCTCCACAGAGCCTGGGGTGGGGAGGAGTCACCATGTGAGCTCACAACTTGTGATATGTGATGAGTTTCTCAGAGCCCCAGCTCCCGGAGTCCCGGGATTGTGGAACAATCTGGGGGTTCATTAAAAACAAACAAACAAGGTCAGTTTCTGGCTCCGGTGGTTGTGGGGGAAACAGTGGGAAACGTGGAAGGCAAGCGACCTAACGGGCCCCAAAGCACAAGGCCCCCGGTTTGTTAAATCCTGTCGGGTGGGGGAAGGGCCACAGAGTGCCTGGGCTGGGGGGGCCGGGAGCTCTCCCCTCCCTCACATTAATGCTGACAAGCCAACCTCAACAAGGTTTAAGGAGTGTGAATTCAAGTCTCTTCCCCATGTGGCGCACCAGGGCTGGGCCTGCCCGGCCGTGCTCCAGTCGGCCCCAGAGTCGCTCAGGGCCCGGAGCCTGGACAGCCCATGTTAAAAACCAGCTCCCAGGAGTTCGCCACGCACCCTCCCCGCAGAGCCCGGCGCCGAGAGTGGAACCAACCAGACTTTTATTGCTGGAATGAGCGTGCGGATTGATAGCCTCCCAGCCAGCCTGCGCCCTTCCTGCCCCCCCCAACAGCCCCCTCCCCCTGGACAGCCCCATCCCTGTCCTGCACCATTTCTGTCCTGTCCCCCTCCCCCTGCCAGCCTGTCCCCTTCCTGCCCCCCCCCAACAGCCCTCTCCCCCTGGACAGCCCCATCCCTGTCCTGCCCCCCCCCCCAGCCAGCCTGTCCCCTTCCTGCCCCCCCCAACAGCCCTCTCCCCCTGGACAGCCCCATCCCTGTCCTGCACCATTTCTGTCCTGTCCCCCTCCCCCTGCCAGCCTGTCCCCTTCCTGCCCCCCCCAACAGCCCTCTCCCCCCTGGACAGCCCCATCCCTGTCCTGCCCCCCCAGCCAGCCTGTCCCCTTCCTGCCCCCCCCAACAGCCCTCCCCCCTGGACAGCCCCATCCCTTCCTGCCCCCCCCGCCACCTGTCCCCTTCCTGCCCCCCCCCCAGCCTGTCCCCTTCCTGCCCCCCAACAGCCCCCTCCCCCTGGACAGCCCCATCCCTGTCCTGCACCATTTCTGTCCTGTCCCCCTCCCCCTGCCAGCCTGTCCCCTTCCTGTCCCCCTCCCCCTGCCAGCCTGTCCCCTTCCTGCCCCCCAACAGCCCTCTCCCCCTGGACAGCCCCATCCCTGTCCTGCCCCCAGCCAGCTTGTCCCCTTCCTGCCCCCCCCCAACAGCCACCACCCCCTGGACAGCCACATTCCCTGTCCTGTGCCCCCCCCAACAGCCCCCTCCCCCCCCAGCCTGCCCCTGAACAGCCCCCGTCCCCCAGCCAGCCTGTCCTATTCCTGCGTCTGGACAGCCCCCAGCCCTATCCTGCTCCTCTAGATAGCCCCGTCTCCCTCCTGGACCCCCCAGCCCTCTCCTGCCCCCTCCCCAGCCTGCAGGGACAATGGCTCCCTACCAAGCAGCAGCGGGGGCTGTTGTCCATGGGGCCGAGTTCAACACTCAGCCAAGGCCCAGGCAGGAAATTCCAGCCGTGACCCCCGGCCCATCTGGCGCCGGGTGCAGCTTGTCGGCAGACACCGGGAGGGAAGCCGGAATGAGCCTGTGAGTGACGCACGAGTGGGTGCACTTGCAGTCTGGGGGGGACACACTGGCGGTGGATGCAGCTGGGGTGCGTGGTGGGGAGGGGGGGCGGCTCCTACTCCAAGGACTGTGGGTTTTTAAAGTAGCTTTTCTGCCCAAGTTATAAAGCCAAGAGTCAGGGAGGTCGAATTCGGGGGGAGGGAATCTCCATCCCAGGGCTCTCAGCACCCACCCCAGGAGCACCATGGGCACCATCCAGGATGGGGCGTGGCATTTGGAGCTGGTGCTGAGATCCCCATTCTGCCAGCCCGCGGCTGAGGCATCCAACCTCATGCTTCCTGGCAGGGGCCAGGCAGGGAGCTCAGCCCCACAGCTCCCTGCTGCCAGGCGAGCCGGGTCCAGAGATTGGAGGCAACATCGGTTCAGGTGCCAACCCAAACTTGCTGTCCCTGGGGCAGCCTGAGTCCAGGGCTGGGGCCTGTCTCCCCCCTCGTGCCCCCCAAGGAGGTGGCCCTGGCAGTGCCTACTCTGGGCCCGTTGCTCGCTGCCCGCCCAGATGCCCTCGGCTACTGCAGCACAGACTCCTGAGTGAGCTTGCGGCGCAGGGAGGCGTTGAGCATGGGGTAGAGGGAGACGATGGAGGGCCGTGTCTTGAGGCGGGGGTAGATGCGCTTCAGCACAGCCCTGCGGAAGAGGATGTAGACCCAGGGGTCCAGGATCTGGTTCCAGGTGACCATGCGCAGGTAGATCAGCAGCATCTCCTCGGTCTGCCGCGGGATGTGTCGGGGCAGCAAGCCGGGGGCGGGCTCCTGCAGGACCGTCTGGATGATAAATATCTGGGGGGAGGGGAGAGGTTAGGGGTAGGAACAGGTGCGGGCTGGGGGGCTCAGTGGTCCTGGGACCAAAGCTGTGTCATGGCCCATGTCCTGGCCATCCTGCCACCTGCCTGGGGCCACACAGCGCCTGTCCATCTGTCCATCCCCCCACATGGGGTCACACAGCGTCTGTCTGTCTGTCCATGCCTTCTCACCTGAGGGGCTGAGGCACATGGGGGTGGGGGGTGCCTAGCCAGGTGGGGTAGGCGATAGGGGTAGGCAGGGTATGGCGGGGGGAGATGGGGTAGGTAGAGCACACTGGGTAGGAGGGGCACCTAGCCAGACAGGGCAGGCAGGGCACACTGTGGGGGAGGGAGATGGGGTAAGCAGGGCACACTGGGGAAGTGGGCGGGGGGATGATAGGCAGGGCATGGCAGGGGGTGGAGATGGGGTATACAGACCCTGGCGGGGAGGGTGCAGGTCAGATGGGGGTAGGCAGGGCACGCTGGGGGGGCAGTGGGTCAGAGCACACCGGATGGGGGGGGCACCTCACTGGATGGGGCAGGCAGGGCACAGTGGCCAAGGAGGCTGGGTAGTTATAAATCAAGCACCAGCAAATGGGCAGGGGCTGGGGGCTGATGGAGGGGGTGGAACTGTGCTGTGGGGATCTCGAGGCCGGCATGGCTGGGGACAGGGTGTCATAAATATAACGGGGAGGGTGACCACCTTTCTGTGCACAGGGCTATAAAATCCCTCCTGGCCAGAGGCAACATCCTGTTACCTGTAAAGGGTTAAGAAGCCCAGCTAACCTGGCTGGCACCTGACCCAAAGGACCAATAAGGGAACAAGATACTTTCAAATCTTGGGTGGGGGGAGGCTTTTGTTTGTGCTCTTTGTTTACGTGGTTGTTCTCTCTTGGGACTGAGAGAGGCCAGACAGAAATCCATGTTCTCCACCCATCCTAATCCAAGTCTCCAATATTGCAACCAGTCTAGATAAGCCAGGCAAGGCGGGTTAGTTCATCTTTTGTTTTATGTGAATTTTCCCTGTGTTAAGAGGGAGGTTTATTCCTGTTTTCTGTAACTTTAAAATTTTGCCCAGAGGGGGATCCTCTGTGTTTTGAATCTGAATACCCCGTAAAGTATTTTCCTTCCTGATTTTACAGAGAGGATTTTTACCTTTTTTTTTTTTAATAAAACCCCTCTTTTAAGAACCTGACTGGTTTTTCCATTGTTCCAAGATCCAGGGGTTTGGGTCTTTGATGATTTTGTAACCAATTGGTTAGGATATTATTCTCAAGCCTCCCCAGGAAAGGGGGTGTAGGGCTTGAGGGGGATATTTTGGGGGAAGATGTCTCCAAGTGGTCTCTTTCCCTGTTCTTTGTTTAAAAGGCTCGGTGGTGGCTGCATACGGTTCAAGGACAAGGCAAAGTTTGTGCCTTGGGAAAGTTTTAACCCAAGCTGGTAAGAATAAGCTTAGGGGGCCTTTCATGCAGGTCCCCACATCTGTACCCTAGAGTTCAGAGTGGGGAAGGAACCCTGACGGGGCTATGCAGGGACTAGCAGTGTTGGGGGGGCAGAAGGGGAGTCTAGCAGTTGTAGCTGCAGCGGGGCGGGGGGGCATTGCTGTAACCGAGGCAGGCACAGAGGAGTTGGGGGGATCCTGGAAAAGGGGTGCAGGCTGCAGCCTGGCTGTGAAGCGTTGGGAAGGGGAGGTGAATCCTCACATTGTGGGCCGAGGGAGGGGTTGGGAACAGCCCAGGAGGGACCATCAGGTGCTCAGCTTTGTCCATATCGCGTGGGATAGTCGAGGGGGGGTCAGTGAGGTCAGGATAAGGGAGCGGCTGTTGGACAGACAGGGATGGGGCAGCAGGCCAGGGGACGGGGTCGGGAAGGCCGGGGGGGGGGTCAGCAGGACAGGGGGGAGGTGTGGCAGAAGTTTGGGGGTTCCAGTGAGGAGAGGGGAGCTAAAGCCAAGGTAGTGGCTGTGCTGGGGTGGGGGGACAGGCCAGAGCAGGAGCAGCCAGATCCTGATGCTGATTATTGCTTGTCCGTACTGCAGAGCCCAGCTCAGGGCTGATGGGGGGCCAAGCCGCAGGGGGGCTGGGCAAGGGGCATTGGGAGTCCTGGTGAGAGCGGGCCGGGCTAAGGGGTGCCGACGGCTCAGGGGGGCACCCAGGGCACAGTGTATAGAGCCAAGCTCGAAGGGTTCGTCCAAACTGCAAACCCCCTCCCCCACATACACTGCAACCCCCCCGTTCCCCCCACCCCCACGTGGTGCCGAGGCTCAGCACCAGCCGGGCACCTGTCACGGGACCAAGCCATTTGGGCTCAGGCAGGCGCCCGGCTCTGAAACCTGGGGAGGGGGAGGGACTCACAACCTAGCTCCAGCCCCAGCGGGAACATGCAGGTGGCTGGTTTTAGCCCGCGGGCACCAGCCCCGCAAGCCCAAGGCATGTGACCCAGGCTCTGAGAAGTGCTGCCCTCGGGTAGACTCGGGACTTGGCTAGCAGGGGGCTGCAGGTCGGGAGTGAGGGGCACCGGCAGAGCTGGGGGAGCCCAGGGCTGGGCTAGCAGGGGGCTGCAGGTTGGGAGTGAGGGGCACCGGCAGAGCTGGGGGAGTGCAGGGCTGGGCTAATGGGGGGCTGCAGGTCGGGATTGACTGGAATGCTAAAATAAGGCCATAAAGGCCCCTGCTGATCCCTTTGCGTCCTGGCCCAGGGGCAGCGAATGCTGGCTGGAAAGCCAGCAGCTGGGGGATCCAGCGTGGCAGGGGCTGGGGACTCTGCCAGCTGGGCAGCGTTCAGCAGGTGAATGCATCTGTGACCCGGTTGCGAAGCCAACCCTGGGGGGGGCCTTACCAGCAGGGGTAACCAGCAGACGGTGGCAATGATCATAATGCCCACCAGCTGCACCATCATCTCCACCTCGCTGTCCCGCCGCCTCTGCACTGACTCGCGGTCATGGTAGACCCGGCAGAGCGTCACCACGCTGACCGTGTTGAAGAGGAAGGAGAGGCCTACGGCCAGGATGCCCAGCAGGGCGAAGATCAGGCAGAAGGTGACGTTCTTGGCATCATGAAGCAGAGTGATGAAGCACCAGGAGTTGGGATACTGCAGGGTGTAGTCCCCCAGGCCCAGGATGGGCAGGAGTCCCAGGGAGAAGGAGAAGGCCCAGACCATGCCTACCATGAACCAGGCTCGGCGCTTGGACATGCTGGTGGAGCGGGAGAAGGGGCGGTTGATGCCAAAGAAGCGCTCCCCGGCCATGGTGGCTCCCAGCAGCAGCGGGCACTGGCCGAAGAAGACCATGGAGAGGCCCAGGAAGTTGCAGAGGTAGCAAGCAGGGTCGACCACCATCCAGTTGAACTTGGTGAAGTGGTAGGAGATGATGATGGTCCCAGTCACCAGCAGGCCAAGGAAGTCCGTCACCACCAGGCCGCAGAGGAAGATGAGGAAGGAGGAGCGGGCGCGGCTGTGCATCTTCCGGGAGGAGCTGACCAGCACACAGAGGGCAAAGAGGTTGGAGGCAAGGCCGATGCTGCCGAAGGCAGTGGAGAACCAGCGCGAGACAATCAGCTTCCTGCCGTTCTCGCTGAGGTTGGTGCTGAGGTTGGTGCTGCGGAAGCACGAGCCCATCTCGCTGGCCAGGCTGCCATTGGCCTCCATCCCCGGCCACGGGCAGGGCGGCTCCCCCAATGCACACGGCACCTCCACAGCCCAGCCTCTGGCTTCACTCTAGCTGGGCTTCACGGTGCCGCAGCCTGGTGGGGCCTTCTCCTGGGGGCTGGGCACTGCCCTGCACCAGCCTCACTCCTGCCGGCTCACTCGTTCGCCAGAGAAGCAGCAGGAGTTGCCCAGGTTGCTCTGCCAGCCCTTCGGGGAGAAAGAGGACAAGTCAGTGTCACGCCTGGCTCACCCGGCCAGCAGCTCCCAGCACCACTCCCATGGTGCCCTCCCCACATGGCTCCTGCTGGCCTAATGCAGTGGCTCCCAGAGCACCAGCTTGTGCCATTGGGTGCCAAGGGCTGTGGCTCAGTCCCCGGGGCACCGTTCGATCGATACCCCACGTCGGGTAAAAGTGTCGGGAACCCCCCAGGCAAGCGCTGGCAGCAGGATCTTTGGCACCAAAAGCACAAGCCTCTGCCACTCGAGCTCACGGAACAGATCCTTCACTGGCAGAAGTAGTAGGCTCTTATTCTCTAGCAGGACCAGCCACCAGCTGGGTCCCCACCTCACTCAGCCAGTGCATTACAGAGCTCCATGCTATGGGTCCCAGTGTCAACTCGGAGAGGTTGGGTAGTGGGGCCAGTCAGGACTCCTGGGTTTTAGATTAATAGATTCATAGATACTAAGGTCAGAAGGGACCATTATGATCATCTAGTCTGACCCCCAGCACAACGCAGGCCATAGAATCTCACCCACCCACTCCTGCAATAAACCTCTCACCAATGTCTGAGCTATTGAAGTCCTCAAATCGTGGTTTAAAGACTTCAAGGAGCAGAGAATCCTCCAGCAAGTGACCCATGCCCCATGCTACAGAGGAAGGCAAAAAACCCCCAGGGCCTCTGCCAATCTGCCCTGGAGGAAAATTCCTTCCCGACCCCAAATATGGCGATCAGCTAAACCCTGAGCATATGGGCAAGATTCACCAGCCAGATACCCAGGAAAGAATTCTCTGTAGTAACTCAGATCCCACCCCATCTAACATCCCGTCACAGGCCATTGGGCCTATTTACCATGAATATTTAAAGATCAATTAATTACCAAAATCATGTTATCCCATCATACCATCTCCTCCATAAACTCATCGAGTTTAATCTTAACCCAGATAGGGTTCTCTTCCATGTGTTGGCACTCACTCCCTGTGCAACCTTAGCTGCAGCCCCTGTCTCTGTGCCCGTTGGTACTTTGATGCCCTAGCACCGGGGGCAAGTCGCTGCCCTGAGGGCGTGGGAGGGGCGAGGCTGTTGTGCTGGGGAAGGTGGGGAGTGGGCTGGAAGCGCAGGAGATGGCTCCTGTTTGGGTTCACTCCAGGGAGGACTGTGGACCAGTGCTCCGAGACGCGCTCGCTGCCATGGGTGATTGCCAGCAGCCTTGGCCTGGAGCCTAACGGCACGAGTGCCGCCATCTCCAGCTGCAAGGAGGCATCATCTTTCTCCCCACCCTCAGGGGCCCCCCAGGAGCCCCAAGCCAGGGGAGCTGGGGAAGAAAGCAAGCCCAGAGGGGTGTCCCCCAGAGCAGCCCTAGAAGTAATTCTACAGCAGGGACCTCGTACACAGGTGATGCCATCCACCCAGCGGCTTCAACAGGCTATTCTCTCCCTGTGCTCACTGGCTGCTGGCGCCGACTCCCCACCTTGCCTTCCCTCCCTCCCCCCAGCCCTGATCCCTCCTTTCTTCCCCATCTAGTGACCCCACCCCCAAAATCCCGGCACTAACAACATGACATTTGCAACCATCGCTCTGCTTGCCTGTTACGCCCCTTCCCCCTCCGCAGGTCAGTCGGGTCTGTTTCAATGCCAGGGCCAGCTCTAGCTATTCTCTGCCCGTGCCGTGCCTGGCACAACGGGGCTCCATCCTCGGCTGGCTCATAGGTGCTACCGTACTAACAGCTGAACACAGCCTGGGACTGGGTTCACTTGTGTGGCCTGGCTCCAGTCACTTCCTCGCTGTGCAGCGGAGATGGTATTGGGCTGCCATTGTAAAGGCCTCTTATGCTGGTAGCTGGGTGCAGACTCCTTGAAACTGGTGGGCATAACAGCTGCCTTCGTTCAGGAGAAAGGTAGGAAACAATTAAGCTCCTTTATGAAACAATCAGAGCAACAACCCAAAACACAGCACAGGGAACGCTAGAGTAGGAGATGCACCAGGGGCTTCCCAGGGGTCAGATAACAAAACACAAGAGTGGGGGACTGATTAAGTTGCAGCTGTGTGCAAGAGAGAAGCAGCAGAAACACACGGAGGAGCAAAAAGCCCCAGGCAAAAAGCCAAGAGGGATCTTTTGGGCAGAGTGCTGGCTAAGAGGGGCTTGGAACTGTGACCAAAGAAATGGTCTATTGCTGTTTGATTGAGATGGTCAAGTTCAGGATCCTGACACAGGGAAGAAAGGAGAGCAGCAGAATAAGACCCTGGACTTCAGAAAAGCAGACTGTGACTCCCTCAGGGAACTGATGGGCAGGATCCCCTGGGAGAATAACATGAGGGGGAAAGGAGTCCAGGAGAGCTGGCTGTATTTTAAAGAATCCTTATTGAGGTTACAGGGACAAACCATCCCGATGTGTAGAAAGAATAGTAAATATGGCAGGCGACCAGCTTGGCTTCACAGTGAAATCCTTGCTGATCTTAAACACAAAAAAGAAGCTTACAAGAAGTAGAAGATTGGACAAATGACCAGGGAAGAGTATAAAAATATTGCTCGGGCATGCAGGAGTGAAATCAGGAAGGCCAAATCACACCTGGAGTTGCAGCTAGCAAGAGATGTTAAGAGTAACAAGAAGGGTTTCTTCAGGTATGTTAGCAACAAGAAGAAAGTCAAGGAAAGTGTGGGCCCCTTACTGAATGAGGGAGGCAACCTAGTGACAGAGGATATGAAAACAGCTAATGTACTCAATGCCTTTTTTGCCTCTGTCTTCACGAACAAGGTCAGCTCCCAGACTACTGCACTGGGCAGCACAGCATGGGGAGGAGGTGACCAGCCCTCTGTGGAGAAAGAAGTGGTTCGGGACTATTTAGAAAAGCTGGACGAGCACAAGTCCATGGGGCCGGATGCACTGCATCTGAGAGTGCTAAAGGAGTTGGCTGATGTGATTGCAGATCCATTGGCCATTATCTTTGAAAACTCATGGTGATCAGGGGGAGGTCCCGGACGACTGGAAAAAGGCTAATGTAGTGCCCATCTTTAAAAAAGGGAAGAAGGAGGATCCGGGGAACTACAGGCCAGTCAGCCTCACCTCAGTCCCTGGAAAAATCATGGAGCAGGTCCTCAAGGAATCAATTCTGAAGCACTTAGAGGAGAGGAAAGTGATCAGGAACAGTCAGCGTGGATTCACCAAGGGCAAGTCATGCCTGACTAATCTAATTGCCTTCTATAACGAGATAACTGGCTCTGTGGATGAGGGGAAAGCCATGGATGTGTTGTTCCTTGACTTTAGCAAAGCTTTTGACACGGTCTCCCACAGTATTCTTGCCAGCAAGTTAAAGAAGTATGGGCTGGATGAATGGACTATAAGGTGGATAGAAAGCTGGCTAGATTGTCGGAGCCATTGATCACTACCCATTGAGCCCATGTCTATTTGGCAGCCGGTATCAAGTGGAGTGCCCCAGGAGTCGGTCCTGGGGCCGGTTTTGTTCAATATCTTCATAAATGATCTGGAGGATGGTGTGGATTGCACCCTCAGCAAGTTTGCAGATGACACTAAACTGGGAGGAGAGCTAGATACGCTGGAGGGCAGGGATAGGATACAGAGGGACCTAGACAAATTAGAGGATTGGGCCAAAAGAAATCTGATGAGGTTCAACAAGGACAAATGCAGAGTCCTGCACTTAGGACGGAGCAATCCAATGCACCTCTACAGACTAGGGACCGAATGGCTCGGCAGCAGTTCTGCAGAAAAGGACCTAGGGGTTACAGTGGACGAGAAGCTGAATAGGAGTCAACAGTGTGCCCTTGTTGCCAAGAAGGCCAATGGCATTTTGGGATGTATAAGTAGGGGCATTGCCAGCAGATCGAGGGACGTGATTGTTCCCCTCTATTCGACATTGGTGAGGCCTCATCTGGAGTACTGTGTCCACTTTTGGGCCCCACACTACAAGAAGGATGTGGAAAAATTGGAAAACGTCCAGTGGAGGGCAACAAAAATGATTAGGGGACTGGAACACATGACTTATGAGGAGAGGCTGAGGGAACTGGGGATGTTTAGTCTACGGAAGAGAAGAATGAGGGGGGATTTGATAGCTGCTTTCAACTACCTGAAAGGGGGTTCCAAAGAGGATGGATCTAGACTGTCCTCAGTGGTAGCTGATGACAGAACAAGGAGTAATGGTCTCAAGTTGCAGTGGGGGAGGTTTAGGTTGGATATTAGGAAAAACTTTTTCACTAGGAGGGTGATGAAACACTGGAATGCGTTACCTAGGGAGGTGGTGGAATCTCCTTCCTTAGAAGTTTTTAAGGTCAGGCTTGACAAAGCCCTGGCTGGGATGATTTAGTTGGGGATTGGTCCTGCTTTGAGCAGGGGGTTGGACTAGATGACCTCCTGAGGTCCCTTTCAACCCTGATATTCTATGATTCCTGCAGTGTGCAGGGAAACAGGACTTTACATCCTCTTGCAAATAAACAGGATTGCACAAAAGAAGCACCTGCCTTCATCATCTATTTCCCCTCCTAAAGGACCCTGACGATTGGCTAGCCAGTCGGATCAGAAAGCGGTAACAGACCCCTGGGAGCTACAGCTGGAACGAGCGAGTTCTGGGCATCTGTGCTTTTCAGGAAAAAACATTGTAAAGGGGGACCTGGCTTGCTCGGGGCATTGACCATAAATACAGGCACACGGCATCTTTTCCCTCTAGGTTGCTGGTTCCAATCCTGCACCAATAGGCCGCTCGGGGGCCCATGTGGGATGAATCTGGGGGAGGATGTCTCAGTCTAGTCCCTTTGTCTCATCATCATGGAACCTGCTGCCAATTGACCCTCTTGGGCAGGCTCCTGGAGAAGGGGATCCAGAGAGAGGCCCTGCGCTGACGGGCCGGGTGGGGCTGGGGAACCGACCCGGCACCATGTGCTCATTCCTGGGAAGATGGCGATTCTCTGGGAGAGGCTGAGCAGCTGGTTTGCATTAGCAGCCCGCTCTCTGCGCACGCAACACGTTCCCTGAAGGA